GACTCTTAGGTTTAATCCTTGCTTCTCTCCCTTCTGGTGCTTGCAAAGTCTCTGGATGTATTTGCTGTATTGCATCCAAAGCTTGGACTGCTCTCTTGCCTTTTACTTTCCGTATGTGTGCTGGAAAAAAAGTCTTTACCGGCAAAGACATGAAGATGCTCCTGGTGCCTGGATTTCTCTGTGTCTAAGCTCTGCTCTGCCGTGTGTGCGACCGACCCTTCTGTGTGGCACGGCTGTCTAACTTCACTTCAGGCAGCGCGGGCTCTTGAGCTGACCTTGGCTGGCTTGGAGTTACACAAATCCTGGCATGCCTATCTGTTGTATTGGGCTGGCATAGTGCATTAGAGCTGGCAGTTTCTGGCCGTTGGAAGGGTTGTCTTGCTTGCCGTTCGCTGAAAATAGAAGTAAATGGTCCTGTAATGTGCATCTGGCAGCGCTTCATAATAATTGCTTGTCAATTTGTCTTTGATCTATTTCCTTTCAACTTTGCCCAGATTTAGCAAAGAATTAGTGGAATAAGGAGGGAGAAATTGGTTGTGGTCCGAGGCTCTGGAAGCTGAAAGTAGTCCTTGAGGCTGAGGAGGTGGTAATGTTGTAGACAGGTAGTGTGCAAGGAGGAAGGGTTAACCAGCAGGGAGCAGCTGTTAGCAAGGTAGTTAAAAGTGAAAGTAAGTGTATTAATTCCTGCATGATGCTGCGAGAAACCGTCAGAGTTGAGATGAGTGCTGGATGACTTGTCTAAGCAAAACCTGCTTGTGCAGTGCAGCGGTGACCAGGCAGACGGCGAGAGCTGGGCAGTGCCCGTCCTTACCCCTGCAGCCCGGGGCAGAAGACACCCATCAGCTTTGGCAAACAGGTCCCTCTTCTACTGCATAATGCTGCATGGGAAGGTGAAAGCAAACTCTCAAATCCATTAGATAGTCTTCATTAGGCAGTGCTGGCTGCAGTCCAGGAGCTTGATAGCTTGGTCCCTTCCTGGGCTGTGCTGAGCAGCATCGCTGTTCTGGGCTGTCTGATGCTGCCAAGTGAAAATCTCAGCCATCTATTGGCTCCTCCTTCCCCTCTTCTCGGTCATACCTTGCTGAAAAATGTGAACTGGATTTTCTGCCCGCTGCTTACCAATGAGGTTACCTCTTCTGAGGTAGCTGTGGGAGCACAGGTCCTTCTGAACAGCTCTTTTAGCACAAATCTGAAGTATTGGCCACAGTTGCTAATAAAAAGGTTTTGAGTGCTTCAAAATGTTCAGAGTGTATTTAGCTAGTAGCCTACTCACACACCTTAACCCCTAGCCTTAAAATGACGATGTGGTATTACTGTTAACCTTTTTTGCAATGCAACAGTTTGGGGTGAGTGCTGTTTTCTTTAGCGGGAGGTGCAGTTCATGAGCAGTCAGTCACAGATGCACAAGGGACTTGGGAGGTGAAGGCTAGACCAAAGGTCCAAAATCATCTCTTGCTCACAAGAAACGTAAAGGGAAATCTCTCTAGGTCTAGGTACAGACCACTAAAGACATCCGTGCCACTTCCACACATTCAGATAGGCAGCGGTTGTTGCATGAGAAACCTGTGAGGCGATACACCTACAGCTCTGACCTTGGCCTGGAAAGACCTGCAGCCCTGGAAGGAGCAGGATTCCAGCTGGAGCTCTGATTTGCTCTGGCACGTGGTTGTGACCAAGCGCTGTTTCTCTGAATGAGTGTGAGATGCATGAAAGCCAGCGGCCAGATTTCTCTGCCCTATCTGTGCACCTGCTGCTTCCTTTGGAAGCCAGTTTGCGGGTGTACGTTCTTGGTATTCTTAAAATTGGCCTGTATGCCCTGCTAACGGACCTGGATCTTGTATTTCGAGCCATTTGTGTATGAGGAGCGTGGCAAGAAGCTGCTGTTCTCTGTGCTTTTTCTCTGTCCCTTCCTGATTCCCTCATCCTCGTGCTGTTTTACTGAGTGTTTCGCAGTCCTGTTCTCTGCATGCAAAACGGGGAGCACTGAAGCCAATTAGCAGCGGAAGGTGTAATAAATGCAGAGACATTCAAATTAGGGTGGCATTTTTCACACCTTTTCTGATCGTAGTGTGGAGTGACTACCTGAAGGAAGTTAGACATTCTTGAACGTGTTGTGCCTTTGTGGACTAAATCCTGGGTACAGTCAAAACCTCAGCTCAGTAAACTGTAGTTTGGAAGGAATATTGTGTTCTCTTGTAACTGAGGCAATCGGACCAGGTGATGTATTAGTTGTTTAGAAAGCAAAGCTTTGCGCTCTCTCTCGCGTGGATGTGGATTGTCAAATCTTGCTTCTCTGATGGCACAGTCGCTTACTCTAGATTGCCGTGTAAAAATTGCTGTGTGTACCCTGATTAAATCAATACTTGTTTTCTCTGGAGAGAAGCATGCTGCTTTTGCTAGTAGCAAAATTGTCATGCTTTAATCTGCAGTCAGTGGGAGTTTAATAATAAAGTAACCAAATTGGTAGGTGTATTTGCAGACAAAAGAAGTTAAATTATTTTGCATGGCTTCCATGTGTGGCGTTGTCAGCTGAAGTTTGCAGGAGTTAAAGGTAGGGGAGAGAAGGACATGAGGATGTAATTTTCCTATGACTTGTAGAAGTACTGTGACAACTCTGCCAATATTGCAGGCTCCCTCTTCCTCGGTTGTGGCTCCACCTGACGTATATGTCTCTCGCTGCTCCATTTGGAAGATGCTCCGGGCCGTGTTTCTGTCAGGTCCCTATGTGTTGATGTTGCAGTCCTGTAACAGAAGGCAGTAGCTTAAATTTTTTTTTTGTTAGTTTCTAAATTTCTCTTTCCTTTGAGCTCTCAGGGTGGTTTAGCTACGTTCTCCATTTCACAGACTGTAGTTTTCTTTGCCAGTTGGCCCTGGTTGCTTGTAAGCAAAATAGTGTGATGTACACGCTCTAGCAAGGGTGCTTTGGGAGTGACTTTGTTAATTAGCACAGGATCCAGGCTGGAGGAAAGGTACCTTGTCCTAAAACTTTGCTCCTGAGACACTGGCAGTTGGTCTGAGGGGGTACCAGTCCCTCTTCAGCTGAAATGCAGAGTTAGAAGAAGGTGGTCCTTGAATTTAGTGGATCTGCTTTTTTAAAAAAAAAAGTTTAATTGACCTGTTTTGTCTGCTCAGCTCTTGTTTCTGTCTGCTGAGCGCTGCGCTGTACGCAGAGACACAGTACCCCTCTGGCCTCCAGGCCTGGCGGGAATAGCAGTGAGAAGGGAACTGAACCCCTGGAGAGAGGGCAAGCTTGGGATGGACAACTTCTGACTTTCTCATTTGGGGGAGAGAAAAAAGAAAAAGTCATGTGATTTCCAAAAAGTTTTGATGATGTCTGAGATGGTAATTAAAAAAAAAAAAGTGGTGGGTTTTTTTTGTTTAATGTTTTCTCTAGATTTTACCTGTGGTTCATGCAAATATTGTACAGAAATTTAAAAAAGAAGTTCAAACCTGATCTCTCCAGTGATTTTAAAAAGCATAATGTGGTAAGAAAGTATGGACTGGGGGAAGCTGTGGTTGTTGTGGGTCCCTTATTTCTTGCTGGCTCTGTTGTGGGTTACAAGAGGGAGGGGGGGAATCAGAAGAGTGCTGTCTTGCTTTTTTCAAGATAGACATCCTTTGGGCTAAAGATAGCACAGCGGGATGTGTGGATTTGGTCTCCAGAAAGGAGACAGATGTGGCTAGGGTAGAACAATAAGGCTATTGCTGCGGGTTTAGGAGTTCTCAAAAATGGCTTGTAATTTGAGATCCTCAACTTGGAGCAGGTTAAGAGAGGGAGTCGGGGTTATTTCTGTGTCTGCATTTAAGCACTATGAAGAAATCAGGCCCTCCAGAACTACCAGGGTTTTGAAACCCTCTTTGGCAGGAGTGAGCAGCATCTGTATGACTTGCTGTATGCCAGGGCCACGTAAAGAACAGGACTCTCAAAGGGCTCAAACTTTTAAAATGAGAATTCTTTGGGATATCGCTAGCTCTTTACGGTGTATAACTCCAGCCCTTGGCTTCCTGGGACTGCTGAAAGCTGTGGCAGCACCAAATCATAACTTACTATTGAGCTGACTCTTTAGAAATCCTTAAACGTAAAATAAACATGTGCTGTAATGTGAGGTGACAGAGAGCGAATGAAATGCTGTTAGGCTGTGGTGTCGACAGTGTCGTCGTGCTTCCCTTTTTACCATTGTGCAGTGCTTCTTGGCGACTTGGATCCGTCCAACTCTTTGTGCTGATCCATTCTGATCTCTAGGAGCCAGGTGTGAAACTTTGATGCCTGTGTACCTCCGTCCTCAATCAGTTCCCTATTTCTGTCCAGGACCACAAATGTAAAACCCGTATATTTTGATGCATTGCTGACAGAGATGAAAGACAAGTATGTCATGGGAGTCGTGACATTACTAATAGCAACGACCACAAAATGAATTGTGATTTCGTTTCTCTTTTCCCTTGTTCTGCTGTCCTTTTTTAAAAGCACTAACATCAAACTATGCGTGGGAGATGGGTTTCTTCTGCTTCTCACACAAATCAACTTTGTAATGTAACTTGGATGCTTCAAAAGTCGGGAGGCCTTTTAAGCTTAGGGCTTTAGTAATTCAGCAGATGATCTGTAGCTCAGACTTCTGTCCAGGACAACGCTGCTGTTTATACTTCAGCTTTCTTCATAATGGAAATTCATGGAGCAATGAAGGACTGTCTGGCAGGACAAGTAACCGGCGTAATTGCTTGTTTTTACGGAGAAGTGAAATGTTAACTTTCCTTCCATGAATTGAAGATTTGCCCCCTTGGATTCCTTTTAGTTCCCAGAAATAACTGTCTAGGCAGAGTTGGAAGCTCTGGAGCTAGGCACGTGTGAGGCGTGCTACCACTGTGGCTCTGCTGTTATCTGCTGAGTGCCCTCCCTCCTCTGACTGTGCTCTGAAGGCAGATGGAGGCAGGGACAGGGTCAGAAGCAAGGACCAAGAGGTTTCTTTGTTAATGAATAGGATGATTTTGTCTTCTGCAGGTGGATTTGCGATAGTGTTTCTTGTGAGGACTAACAATGGGATGAAATGCGCCCTGAAGCGGATGTACGTCAATAACGAGTACGACTTGCAAGTCTGCAAAAGAGAAATCCAAATCATGGTAAGTCACTGCTTTGTACTGGGACGCCAGACTGGGGGTGGCGTGGTGTGAGAGCCTGGCCACCTCCTGCCTGTGATCTGCGCAGCACCATGCTGCGAACTGTGGGCTTTCTTAGCAAAACCGTGTTTCTTTTGGGAAGACCTAACTCCTGGAGTTAGCGACTGTGTAAAAATCTTGTACTGAATTATTTTAAATTTAAATAGTTTCAGTAGACAAGAAAAATATGGGAGCTGAAGAAGCAGAGGCAATCTCAGGAAAATGAAGGGAGCAAAAAACCTCCTATGTCAACCCTACGACTTAACTCTTCAGCTCTTTCCTTTCCCATTGAGCGTGGTTTGAGGTGTTAGACTTCAAAGTCTAACAATCTTTGGTTCGGGTCTGAACTCTTGAGCCTTTTAGACTTCATCAGAAAAGGCTGAGGATTCTGATCTCTCCATCTCTGAACTCAAATCAGTGCATGAATTGAAGATCTCCATCCCGAGATGAATTTGTGTCACAACAGCTTCTAATCTTTTGGGTTGGGATGAAGGCTTGCTCTGTATTGGTGAGGTCATAGATTAAAAACAGTGTTTGTGGGGTAGTTACTGCCTGGGCTTTTGTGAGTTTATTTATAATAAGCACTGGGATATTTCATTAAATTATTGGGTATAAGGGGTTATATGATAGGATAGGTATTTTTAATAGCCACTTTAAACTTAGCATCTCCAAACAAATAAACTACTGAGATGATCCAAGCAGATTTGCTTAGTCTTGTTTGGAGCCTGGAAAACGTGGAAAGTGCCGCTTTTGAAGTTGTTTTCAAAGATATTGATGAACATTTATAGCAGCTGAGAGGTGGGGAAGGAAATACAAAATCCTCATTCATTTGGGTAGATGAGCTTCATATCAGAAGCTCTTACCTGTAGCAATTCTGGGTATGTTTTTTGAAGTAGCTTTTAATGAGGTTAATACCTTTAAAGTTAACTGCTGGAGTTTGTGCAATAGTGCAGTGAAGCTCTTGGGCATGCTTTGTCGTCACTGTAGCTAATGCTGCATGGGAAAAGCTGAGATTAGATCTTACAGCGAAGGTTTTAGCGGTGCTCACAAAGCTTGTTTACTTGAATTTTACTTTCAGGTGTTTTCCATTGTCCCTGTGTCTTTGGTGCCTCTTTTGAAATGTGTGGCTAACCTGGAAAGCGAGGGCGAGAAGTGTCCGTCTTACTTGCCAGGTGCACTTGCTCCTGCACTGAGTATCATAGAACCAGTATGTCGCTGAAAGGAAATACTTTCTTCTTTCCTAGCTTTTGTCTAATAAAGAGGTATTTTAAACTTAACCGCAGTTTTTGCAACCATAGAGCATTACAGCAGAATGTGACCAGCAGCATCTTAATTTCTTTTACTGGTGAAGCTGAACATCGAACTGGACTGGCTGTCACACCTGGGGGAGTGTGTGAAGCTGGCGGTCCCAAAGAAAAGACTTCTCTCTGCAGGTTTAGTATGGGTCATGGTTAAGTCATTGATATGAGAATTTGTGCTTTAATCCATTGAGTGCCTTAAAACAAGGTGCTTCTACAAGCAAGGTTAAAATTTATTTTATTACCTTAGTGGTTTTTTTTGAGTATGCAAAGATTCAAAATACTGTTTGCCAGTAGAAGAGTGGAAGAAGAGAAAAGTAAGCACAACGTGTACCGTGCATAGCCGCCACAAAACACCTGCCTTGTTCTCCCCTCCACGTAAAGGAGGAGCAGCTCCCAGTAGCTTGGCCTGGGCCATCTAAGGGAACGTGCAGAAATCTGGAATGATCTCTGGACAAGTTAGTTCGTCAGGTTGGCTGTTGCTCTGCTGTTTGTGTCAAATCCTGCTGGAAGGAAAACCGGTAGAGACAGACCTCAGGTTTTTTCAAGCTCTGCGTGATGATGAATCCAAAGTGACAGAAGCTTGCACCTGTACAGGAGGAGAGCTAGGAAAGCTGTTCAGTGTAGAGGAACCAAATTAAAATGTTGCTTGCTCTATATGGCTGGTTTATGCTTTGCGTGTATTTGTCTTACAGCGGGACCTATCTGGCCACAAGAACATTGTCGGGTACATTGATTCCAGCATCAACTCAGTAAGCAGCGGCGACGTGTGGGAAGTGCTGATACTAATGGACTTCTGTCGAGGTGAGTGTGGGCTCAACATTGGTAGATTTGTCTGTTTTTGGCACTTCCAGGAAACGTGCACAACACCTTCCTCTAAAAAAACCAAACTTGTTGCTAGGCCTGGCCCTGCCTTGGTGACCAAGGAATTGTTCTGAACAAAGCAAAGCCAAAACTAAGTGTGGAGAAGTGGATGATTTGTGAGACTATTGTTGACCCTGTTAATGGGACTGATACCACCTTTGCCTCTGCCCAGTGTGGTCAGGGAAGCCCTCAAATGTATATTGCTGTTTTCTGTAGGCTGGTCTGTGCAAAGAAGTGGCTCTTCTAAAGCTGCCAGACTGTGGAATGAATTTCTTCTTCACTGTCATATTGCAAGCTTCTTCCACTTCAGCCTGACTTAGGAGTGTTCTGGATGAAGCCTGAAATGGATAATGCGAAGCCAAAAAGTATTCCTTGTACCTCTGACCTTTTTTGCTTGGCTGTCTCTAGTCAGACAGGCTTTTCCAGTCTTTTCCAGCTGTCCCAAAGCTTTGATCTCTGTGGCTAGGATGTGGTGTTTGGAAAATGACTCATGTGCTGAGCTCAATTGCCTCTCGCAGGAATAGTGTCAGAGCAAAACCAATGTTTTGGCCAGGTAACTTCAGAAGTCTGTGGCTGGTTTGGATGGTGGCAGCTGACTGAAATAGGTATTCTGGGGACTGTTCAGCTTTTAACTGAAGCCAAGTGCGTTGTAGCAAGGACAACTGGATGCTAAAATGCCTGTAAACATGTTTGATACAGCTTTCTGTTCTGCCGTGCCCCCTTTGCCGCTTAGTTTTGATGCGGGAGTCTTGACTAACCTGCACTGGGTTGGTTTGCTGCTATAAGGAAGAACCTTACTTATAGTTTTGCTGAAGGAATCATTATGTAATTTCTTTGTAAGCTTAAACCTAAACATCACAAGGAGTGTTGTGAGAAATAGGCCTGGCAGTGTTTGTAAATCCATACTCAGCTCCGCGTTGCAGACCCCACTGTGGAGGGCAGTGCAAACCATAGCAATTCAGGATGTGCTCGCTCCAGCTGCACTGGCCTCCCCTCTGTGCCAAATTTTGGGCTGGTGAAGAAAAATCCATCTTTAAGGTGTTTCCTTCCATCTGAAAGGAGGAGAGCTGCAGGGTGGGGATTTCTCATGTGGCTTGCTTCTGCCAGATGGTCGGCGCGGCACACGCCTGCCTCTGTCTCCGACATTCGGACTGAAGCACAGGAATTGCTGTTACACGTTGGACTTTCCCTTGTTACTCTCCTTTTGTGTCAGACAGCTTCCAGACCAAATCAGTGCGTCTTTGTGTGCAGAACTGCACTCACTTTGAGTGTGAAACGTTCGCAGCTGCTCTATTTATTAAGCTGAGCTTTTCTTTTGTACCATGAAAATAAAGTTTTCTGACACTTGTGGTGGGTGAAGTGATAGTTTTGCTTTGCCCAAAGGTTCAGCAAGGAGTTTTTGCTTTGTGTGTACAGGGTGTTTTGAGGGGGGGAACCACCTCTATGTGAATTGTTTTGGAAAGGCCTTGACAGCAACAAAACCTCAAAACTGAGGCTAATTCAGAACTCGTTCATGAAAACTTGCTTTTGTCTGTCTAGAGTTTCCCTTATTACAGACGGAGTTTTAATTTTTTTGTCAGTCTGTGACTTCAGCCAAGCCACTTAGTAGCGTGTGGGTTTTGTATCTCCCTTTCTCCCTCCTCTTGCTTACGTGTGGCATCCTATTTTGTGGGCTGTGGGTGCCCCGGATTCAGCCCTTGATTCCTCTAGTCTGACAAAAAAAGTCTTATTTTGAAGAAGAAAGAAAAAGATGTGGCTTAGAACTACGTTTGAGTGTTAACACAGCCAGGTGAACGTGGGCCTTAGAAGCTGACTTGCTGCTCTCGAAGCACTGTTCAAAGACAAGATCAGATGTAACGCCTGCCACCAGATACACAAACCCCCCTGGGATTTAGGTGAGGAAATCAGAACGGAAACAAGATGAGTAAGCAGATTGCAGAAATGCCTCTGGGGAAGGCTTGGTGCGAATTTTGAATCTGAACTCCTGAACTTGTTGTGCGCTGATGGTACAGCCACAGTTTGATGGGGAGCTGACTGAGACAAGGCGTGTCTGGTAGGACTGGGGCTTAGGCCAGGCCTCATTTTGTGCACCTGCTCTGATTCTTGGTGTGTGTTCCTCCTCAGGAGGTCAGGTGGTGAACCTCATGAACCAGCGCCTGCAGACGGGGTTCACGGAGAATGAGGTCCTGCAGATCTTCTGTGACACCTGCGAAGCCGTAGCCAGGTTGCATCAGTGTAAAACGCCAATAATCCACAGGGATTTGAAGGTGAGTTGTGGACTCCAGCGATACAGTAGGGAGCGTGCATCCTCCTTAACGTGTCTGTCTGTCTGCCTACGCCACGGCAGACGGGCTTTGAATACTGGTACTGTGTTTCTGTTGTTAGTAATGAGGAAAAGTGGGCATAAATACCTCTCTCTATTGGGAGATAAAAAAAGAAATGAGCCTCTTGTTGCTGCTTACCATATGTTTACCATCTATAGATCTACTTAAAAAACACAAATGTTTGTGAGTAATTCTGTTTTGCACAGGAGATGTGCCAGAATATATCTGATGAATTATTCACAGTGACTTTCTACCACCTGAAACACTATTGATGTTATAAGGTAGCTCACAAAAAGCGTGCTGTAAATTTGTTTCCTGGATCCACATTAAAAGGATCCCTCCAGAGATGTTGGCCTTGGGGCGGGAGCCGTTAGAAGCTTTTGAAACTGGCCTCTAACTCTCTGTTGACCATGAAAGTGCAGTGTAAAACTCTGCGTGCTTAGCTGGGAACAGAGCTAGGCCAGCGGGGAGAGCTTCTGAAAAATCCCACGCCTGTCATGAAACAAACAAACAAAAAGATGTTCCTTTTCCTCTCAACTAGCTTGTAAAATGCCTGAATAATATATTTAGCCAAGAAGGAGGCTCCTGTGTGCATTTAAAATTCAGATGTGCTTTGTGGGTCAGGTTCTGTTTTCAGAGCCCACAACAGATGTTTGCTTTGTGCCGCTGGCCGTAGTTTTATAGGAGCAGAAGACACGACGTGTGCCAGGTAGCACAGGGGAAAAAATTCCTCAGGGTTTGGTATGCTTTAACATGTTTCAAACGGTTGTGACCCCAGTGCTCAGCCAGTTTGAATATTGAAACCAGTCTGACATCTATTTTTCTAGAGAGAAACGGGGGGAGTCTGATAAATTTGAGGCCTGGATTTAAAGCTGTTAAGGTCTGTGGGAGTCTTGCAGGCGTTTGTATAGGCAAGGAAGACTGAAGTGAGAGGATGAGGCTTAGGAACAGGGATCTCTGCAGTTGATGTTAAACCCTGCTGTTACCTTTCTAGTGAATCCTTGTCTTTTTCTGAATGAAGAATAAACTGTGAATAAATTTGGGACATCTGTGATGGTTTAGTAAGTTATTCTAGAGTGTTACTCTCCACACTGAGTTGCAGTGGAAGTGGACTGGTACGGTCTGCGTGCTTAGGTCAGTGAAGTTTGCAGGGCCTGGCTCTTGGTTGGTAAGCTGTGCCCAAGGTCAGAGAGTTGGCTCTTCTCTGCCTGGAAACGTGTCCCAGTTGAATATTGAATTATTTCTGTCGTGATGACATCTGGAGCTCCAGTCACAATTGAGGATCTAAGTACTAACGCAGAATTAATGATTTAGATATGTTTTGACTTTATTTGAGTTCAAGTTTAATAATGACAAGGTGGAGCTGCAATTCCAGAACAACTCCAAGAGCGATTAAGGTCCAGAAAAGTTTTGCACGGGTTCTGAGCCTAAGGAGAGGCACCCATCGGGTAGATGTTCTGTTGGAGTGAAGATAACTCTGTTGAAGAGTGGGCAGATGTTGACTTTGCAGACAGCTACGTGGAGTTTGGAGGCTTTTTTTGCCTTCCACCTCTTTAATGTTGCTCTAATGCTGGAGGTTCCTGCCCAGAGAGCTCTGCCAGCAGAAGGGATCATGTGAATAGTGTTTAAGACCTTTCAGACAAGCACAGCTGGATTAGTTTCAGTGGCCTGCGGCTGTGATTTTGAGTTAACCCAACAGGCTTTGCCTGAAGCAGAACGAGCTCCTGTCGGCACAGTCTCCAACTGCTGGGAAGTGATCAACAGCTGGGGACAAAAGCACCTTTAATCAGTGTGCCTGTACGCAGAACTGAGCATCTCGCTGCGAATAAAGGCCTTAGGAAAGGTAGTATGTCATCCCTGTGTTTGTTTATTAGGGTTTTCCTTCCTGACCTGATGGTTAACTCTCAGGTGCTGTGTCAGTCTGCCCCTGTGTGCTTGCTTACAGCTGAATGGCGTGCTGTACAGGGTGTTACGTTTACTTTCATGTGCTTTGTTTGACTGCCACAACAGCAGGTGTGTGTTGATGCTGCTGTTTCCTGAAAATGAGGAAGCCCCTCATGTACCACCTCTGCCCTGGTTAGGACCCCTACAGAGGCAGTGTAAGCTCACTGGCAGTAGGCTTGCCTTGCGAGGTTGCCTTTACTTCTGCTTGCAGATATTTTCCTTGCACGTGGGGTTCACAGGCCACTGCTGCTGCAAGGCATTACCTAAAAAGTTCATTTTTGTTCTCTCTCTGGAGTAAGAACACTTCCGATATCTTTAGGTTCGGCCTTCTAACACCGAAGAAGAAAAGGCCAAACCTTCTTATGGCTATCTGTTATGTTACCCTGGCTTGTGAAGTCTCTGCTTCTGAGTTGGAATCTCTGCAGAGAAACTATAAATGTCAGACCACAGAGGAGTAGAGCTGAGTGAGGTGGATGGAGGGCAAAATACATCTGGGGCTGATGATAACAATTTACACCTATACCTAGTGGCAGTGGTTTGCATAACTGGTTTTATATTTAACCTTATCTTTCCAGTCTCACATCCTATAATGTGTGTTGTTCAAAGCACCGGCTTAGAGCCAACTTTGATTTCTATGGCTCGGAGCTTGCTGCAGTGAGACGTCTCCCACTTCTACCTGTGATGTTTCTGCTAGTTTGAGCCCATCCGGTTCCAGGAGTAGATGACTGGCCTGCAGATGAGTGGTTGATTTTTTTTCTTGTAGTAGACACACAGCAGAATACAGCAAACTTTCTGAAATAACCAGAAGGTTGTGCTCTCATGTTAGAGATTTAGTGTCTGCTACTTTCATTTTGGCAGGAATCCTCCTAGTGCTGCACTTCTCTGTGGTGTGATAAGACAGTCAGGCTGTGCTGCTGTTATCTCTCTGCCTTCCATCACCGTGCTTTGTAATGCCAAGACTTGCTGTGATGCCACCAACAAGCCTTTGCCTGGAATTTGTTTGGACGGATCTGTGCTCAGAGTGTGATGTGTAAAATTGTTCAGTCCTCTAATGGTAAACCCTTGTATTGGCCATGTTAAGAATATGCCTGTGCCCAAATCAGCGCTCTGAAATGTCCCACTGCAGTCATTTCTTTGCTGTGAAATACTGAGCAAGCTTTCAGAAGTAAATAGTGAATGGTGCTGGGGGGGGAAAGGAAGTTGAAACATCTCTAAAGAGACCTGACGGTGCTGGAAAGCAGTCAGAAAGTGTACCCTGGTCACGCATCCCTCCCAAATCGCTACCTGAACTGGGAGATACTGGCCTTAGAAGCCGTTGCTCTCATGAGGGGACAACATGTGTTGATTCCACCGGTTAAAGAAAGCCTGATTCCTCATCCCTCGCCAGTCTGCGTCTGTGCAGCGTGCTTACCACTGAAGGTTTTAGCACAGCAAAGCATTTGTTTCAGAGAGCAGAGACAGAAGGTAGCTACATTTTGTAACTAACAAAACTGAAAGCAACTCATAGTTTCCCTTAAAGATTTTTGTTTGGGGTCTAAATCTGACTTTCTAAGTGTTGGGCATGTCAAAGACTGCAGCTGGAGTTGTAAGCGCTCAGCAGTGCTGGAAACTGGATTGCACTTTCCGAGTGTCTGACTGGAAGATGGCACCTCCATACTCTTTTGAAAAGACAGTTTTCTTGGCCTGGCAGTCAGTAGCAGTAATTCAGGTACTTTATTTTGCTGTTTTGTTTTTTTCTTTTTTGTTTTTCCTTTTTCTGGGAGTTACTGAGCAAGGCTGGTTGCTGGATAGTCCAGTGCTGATATTTAACAAAACTTGCAGGGTATTTCAGTGAGAAGTCATGTCAAACTTCTCAGCCAGGTAAAGTGGAAGGATTCTTCTGGAAATGTTTGAGTATTTGCAGGGGAGAGGGAATAACGCTGTCAGTGTTGATCTGCTCGGGAGAACAGCTGTGTGCAATGCTTTATTCAAAGCAGATGGATAGCAGAGGGGGAAGGGGTGTTGTTTAACCCTTGGTTTCAAGCCAGCATTTCCCCCCTCAGCTGCTCTAATTTGGCTGTGTTTTCTGATGCTTAAAATGCTGACTCCTTCTTTTTCTTTCCTTCTTGTAAAGATCGTCCTCAATGGGGAGCTCTACTTCCAAAAGGTTTTGTTAGCGAATGCTTACGTGGTGATTTTTTTTTTTTTTAAATGTACAAGCAGTATATTTTATCTTGTTGTATCTGAGCATTTGACATTGATTGAAGATAAATACGCTAAGAATTGCGTGCGTTCCCTTGAGAGAAAGTGCTGTTAATGCCACTGTACAGATGGGGAACCGGAATACGGCAATGTTTTGTCAAAGCAAAGAACAGAACCCAGGTTCTTCCACATCTTATGTCGGTGTTGTAATATTTAGACAACTTTCTTAGGTCGATGTAAGCTAGATTTTTGATAATGTATGATCAAGTGTGAGTAGTTTAGGGGAAAAGCAGTGACTGCTATCTCAGGTGTGTATTTGAGCATTTGTTTCAGTTGTCTGATTCAAGCTACCAAATCATATTTGAAAGGAGAGGGTCGTCATCTCAGCAGCCTGGAGGAACCTCTGCCGATACAACCGCTGTTCAGGGAGTGTGGGGTAGCCAGCGCATTCTGGTAACAAGCAACTACAGCATGAGCGCAGGCTGAGGTTTCTTTTGAATGAGACTCAAAGTGACAGGTGAAATGCAGGCAAAGAACTGGAGATGTATTACAATTTTGTGGAGTGTAGAAGCGTGTGCGCTGTCACCCGTTTGCCTCCTTTCTGCCTCACTAGACAGTGAGGGGTTGTAGCCCCGTACGAAGCTGTGAACAGTTTATATTAACTATCCCAAATTCAGATGCCAGACTGTCGGTCATAGTAGCTCAGGGAAGTCGAGCACCAGGAGACAGTTCTTGTCCTGAAGCACACAGTAGTCTTGGAGGCAGGGTGACGTGCTTGCAAAAGGAGAAAGGAGAGATGGCAGGGTAGAAGGAAGGCAGTGTTACAAATATGCTTCCGCGATTTGAATTCTATTTTAGGAGAATTGACAGAGTTTTGATGCATATTTTCTTTGCTGTCATGTTATGCTTTTATGTCAGACGTGTCTGATATGTCTTCAGGCACTAAAAAGCCTGTCTCATCTAAAGAAAATGGGTAATTTTTTTTTGTCTGAGTGATTCTGTATTTGTCTGTGATGCTTGTAGGTTGAAAACATCCTGCTGCACGATCGTGGCCACTATGTCCTGTGTGACTTTGGAAGTGCTACTAACAAATTCCAGAACCCTCAGACAGAAGGGGTGAATGCGGTAGAGGAGGAGATCAAAAAGTAAGTGTGCTTTTCCTTTTCAGCTCGGACATAGCTTGGATTTGAAGGGTAATTTTTTCTTGTACTGGGACTAAATTTTACTCAGGCCTGTTGCAGCAGATTGAATGCTGATGCGTAGAAGCGTCTGCTGCAGGTAAATAAGTGTCCTGGGGGAAGGTGAAACAATAAATTGAGCTTGATGTAATTGCTTTGGACCTGAAAGACTGGGTGTACTAATGCAGAGAAGTTGCCCACCTTGAAGAGGTAGTCACGTGCTCTGTTATGTATGGGGTCAGTCTGCCTCTGTCCCTCATCTGTCTTGGCTTCTGTGCACTGCAATACAGCAGATGACAAAATCCGTGTCCTCCGTGAGCCGCTTGACATAAATCCTTGCAGTGACTAAGGGAATGCGTGGCCTAACTCGCTCAGCTCCGCGTAGAAGATGCAAGGACCTTGAGGTGTTTAATGGCTCCTTCTCTTGCCCCATGCACGACCAGCTACCGTAGTAGCGACTAGGTGCACCTTGATGTATTTTAAAAAGGGAACTTAGCTGGCAGTTCACGATCAGGAATGGAGCAGACTCCAGGTCCTTCATCTTGCTTTTGTTTTTAACAACATCACTGCTGCAAACTTTCTGGTTCTGTTAGTACAGTCCTCTGGCTAGAAAACAGCAGGTTAGAAATGGGTGCGGATGCCTCCTTTTTGACAGGATTCAGTTACACCAGCATGCATTTCCTGGGCTTGTTTGAAGATTTTGGTGCGCTCCTAGTCTGGCTTTGCAGTCCCTTGGGACTGCCCTATTTGTACGCTTATTAACAAGCCTACAAGAACTTTGCCTTTAACAATGCTTGCTTGTGATCAAGGTGGATAGCATGCAAGGTGCCACAGCAGACGTTGTAGACCTACTGATAGGAAATCTTATCGTAAGAGTCTGTTAAACTGTGGCGCAGTTTCCAGCTTCTCTGTTTGTAGTGATTTGTTAAAATGAGACAGATTCCAGCTATAGTTTGAGATACGAAATAACCTTCCCCTTGTTCGTAATACCTCTGAGCAGGAGTCCTGGTATGGAAGTCTGTTTATTATTTAACACATATCTGGTTACAATCTTTGTAATACAGTTGGCCAAAGCCCCAGCAGTGAGGACATTGCAGAGGACGTTTGACTACTGACCTTGTTAATACCCTGAATCCTTGAGTATTTCTGTTCTAGTTCTTAAAATGATTGTGCTGTTTGGTGAACAGATTCCTTGCCTGGGGAAGGATCTTGGTTACTGCTTTGGTTTCACAGGGCGATTGCAGTGGGTAGTATTTTATTGTTAGAGACATGTAGCAGATGCTGTTGTTAAAATTTTTTTCCAATAGATGGTTTCTTTAGTGTCCCTTTCCCTAAAATG